AAAAACACGAATGCATACAAATTGGTTACTTAATTTGGTGCATGATCTCATTAGAATTAAGCTTCCGCACCCTCTCATTTAATTCTATCTTTTTGAAGAGTGAACCTCAAAAGACCCTTATACTCTGTTCGCGTTAAGAAAACTTCTAACAACTACCTTCAAAAATCATGTTAGAAATTTTTGGAGAAAATGACAACAAAACAACTAAGAAAAATGAAGAAACTAAAAACAATAGAATGAGGAAACAAGAAACAGCAAACTCTTTGAACAAGTCAACAAGTCATTTTAATGACCTTAGAGTCGCTAAAACTTTCAAAAAAAAAAGCAAGCAAACCTTGAAGAGAAGGAAGATCAATTAATTTGCCATCGCACTCTAATCGTATCCTCTGGTCTAGATTACGATATGTTCGATGCATCAACTCCTTGCCACCCAGAATGCCATACCACATAAATAAGCGGGAGCGGCTTCGGGTCTACAAAGAAGGCTATGTACAATAGGAAACAAGAGCTACAAAATTTGACTACCTTGTCCGACTCCTCCCTTTTATTATGAAATTCTAAAGCGATTTTTGCATCCAGTCCAATTCCAAAATAATTGTTCATAACTTTCAATTCTTTGTACTGATCTCTGAAAAAACAAATCGTCAAGATTGCAACTCCTATTAATAATTATAACTAGGTTGAAGCCTACAATGATGTATGACACTCCTTTGAACCGCTCACTGCTCCTAGACCACATACACGAGCATTTAATAAAAGCACCTCGGCTATTAGAGATCCACCAGCTAAACCCGTTGATAGCAGGCCTCTGAATTAGAAAGGTTCGAAAACAGTTATTTTCAAATAAGATTTTAACTCAGTTTAAGCGAATTTTACAGCTTTTTTAACGTACAATAGGCACGAAAATCAAGATGTTAGCCTGATGCGCAATATTATGGAACAAAAATCAAGCTATGTCTTCTGTATAGATTCTGCGACAACAAAAACTGTTAACGGTTCGAACAAAATTTTCTCCACATAAGAATGAAACAAAT